TTTAATGGAGTTGTAGGGTTTCTAGAAACATACAGACACACTCCTTTGTGAAAATTCAGTGCCAGATAAAAATGGCATTTCAACCCAGTGATAAATGGACGGACTGTTCGACTTTACTGAGGTATAACTGAAGTATACTCAAGTGCACATGTTTAAAACGCACAATTCATACGTTTTGACCTTTACAGTCCCAAAACCATCACCATAATGAAGATAATGAATATATACATCACCCCCAAGTTTTCGTGTGCCCCTTAGTAATCTCTCCTCAATGACCATGCCCACTCCACTGTCCCCCATCCCAGAATACGAATGGCCTACTTTCTATAACTACAGATTAATGTTTTCTAGAATACTATATAAAATTGAATCATATAGATTGTACTCCTTTTTCCGTCTGGCTTCTTTCATTCTGCATACTTATTTTGAGATTCATGCAGGTTGTCATTTTTATTAATAGTTCATTCTTTTGTATTGCTGAATAATATTCCACTGCATGAATATATCACAATGTATTTTTTTACCTGTTGATGAACTTTGGGTTGCTATCAGGTTTTGCTTACTGCAAATTATGCTGTTAGGAAGATGCATGCATAAGTCTTTGTACAGACAAAAAGCATGGCAATGTTAATATTAATGTAGAATTCAAAACAAAACAGATTAACTTGGAGAACAGAGTGCATTATACTGATATCTACCAAAAGAGATATTGGTAAAAAGCATTTAAATAGCCTTCACAGCATCTTTTCATTGTTGTGAAGGATCTATCCTGAACAAGACACCAGGCGCAGATGATTTTACAGCCAAGTTCTGCCACACTTCAAAGAAGTGGATAGTTCCCACCACATTCGAATAGTTCCAAAGCAGAGGGGAAAATAAGCTTCCAAATTAGTTTTGTGAGGCAAACACAACCCTGACCCAAAAACCTGAAAAAGCAGCACCTAAAAAACAAAGTACCTACCCAAGAATACTTCAATAATAATATCGGGAAGGGAAAACTGTAGACCAATCCCCCTTGTGAATACTAATTTTAAAAATCTTAAGTAAGATATTACTAAATTAAATTTGGCATAGGTTTTTTTTCCAGTAAAACAAACGGTGATATGAAGAAATCAACTGATATTCATTAATAAATTAAAGATAACTTTAAAGGATTTTTTCAAAAATTACCATTCATCTCTGATTTAAATAAACAAACCTCTTTGTGAACAAAGAATTAAAGAGTATTTCCTCAATCTCATGGTAAATAGGTTAGCTGGGACTTTGTTTCTTTGTATTGTTCAAAGGCTCTTACAATGACTATGTATTTTCAGAGACTAAATTCATTTCCATTGTAAAATGAAGAAAAAGAAAGGCTTCTTATGAAGGTGGCACCCAGAGTGAAGAAGGAAGCCCCTGCCCCTCCCAAAGCCAAAGCTGAAGCAAAGGCTTTGAAGGCAAAGAAAAACAGTGCTAAAAAGCACCCACAGCCACAAAAAAAAATGAAGATCCGCCTGCCACCCACCCTCCAGCAGCCTAAAGACACTGCGCCTGCTCCTAAGGCAGCCTAAATATCCTTGGAACAGCACCCCCTGGAGACACAGCTTGACCACTATGCCATCAAGTTCCCCCTGACCACTGAAGATATAAATAGAAGATAACGATACACTTGTGTTCATTGTGGATGTCAGGGCCAAAAAGCACCAGATCAAACGGGCTGTGAAGAAGCTCCATGACATTGAACATGGCCAAGGTTAACACCTGATCAGGCCGGATGGAGAGAAGGCGGCGTATGTTCAACTGGTTCCAGACCATGATGCTTTGGATGTTGCCAACAAAATTGGGATCATCTAAACTGAGAACAGCTAGCCAATTCTAAATATAAAATGTTTATTATAAAAAAAAAAGAAAAACAATCACAGTGGGCATAAATTCAAGGTGCTTTGACAGCTGGTGAAGGTGGCACTGGGATATTTAAAGTAGAGGTGGAAGAACTATCATACCATCATATTAAAATTTTTCATAACTAGGTAACACAAAGCAGCTCATGTACATTCACTCATTAATCTTCTCACAGTACTGATATTAAGGAAAAACAAAATTCCATATATCTGATTAGTAGTATAACTGAGAGAAAATGGGATTCCATCAGTATGTCTTCAATCTCTGTACCAAATTCTACTCAAAAATTAGTCAAAAAGCTAAAAAAAAAAAACTATATACATTTGGGTTTTTTCTTTTCCTTTTAATTAAAGACCTCTGTGAATTGGGCAAGAAGAGCATGAAAGCAAAAGGTTAGACTTCAACCACTTGAAAAGACCAGAAGTAAAGATGCAACAGTGTCATCGGGGAATACCAGAAACATGGAAATGAGCAAGATACATATGACCTGGTTGTAACATTCACCATAACTGCCTGTCCCTTAGCTCCACAAAACTGACCCTATTGTAACACTATATTGTACCAGGATCCTGAGTCAACAGTGAATAAACTAAAGAGTGAATGAATGGCCTGAGTCCTGAGACCTTTGGCCAGTTTGGAACACCTGTCTCCCAAGTCATTTATTAGCCAATTTGACCCAAGACCTAGTTTCTCCAGAGAGAATCCCTGGAGGACCACTACGACTGAGTCATAGTCGCCTCTTCCCTCTCCAATGTTGGACAACTGAGTTTTAGCTAAGATGTCTCCCCAAAATCTAACAATAATATAGTCCTGCTATCCTACCTTTCTTGTGCCAAGCTCTTCCTAGACCGTGAAACAATTGCCTATTACTAAAGTTGTAACTAGTGTTCTGTCATCAACAGATTATCCTCCTCAATCTCCACTGGATCATACTTTTGGGTGTGAACTGTAGGGTATTATAGTCCAGAGGGAAGGAGTCAATAACCAAGTTTTTCACATAAAAGCCATATTTTTGGATCTTTAGCTACAAACCACCTATCCAAGCCTTAGAAACTATGCAGCAGTGGGCAGAAGTAGGTTTACAGTTGTTCACATGGAAAATAATACAATTAATAAATAACACAAGGATAAAAGTTTGCATACTCAACAAAACAAACAAGCAAGCAAAATAGAACCAGAGACATGGAAATAATGAACCAACTGACAGTGACCAGAGGGGAGAGGGGAGGGAGGCAAGAGGGGAAAGAGGGGGGGTCATCAAGGAACACGTATAAGGGACCCTTGGACAAAGACAATGGGGTGGGGGGAGGATTGAATGTGGGAGGGGGGTGGGTAGTGCAGGGGAGAGTAATGGGGGGAGAATGGGAACAACAGTAATTGAACAATAACAAAAAATTTTAAAAAATAAAATGCAACTTATAAAATACAGTTTGATCTCTATTTAAGTATATATGCCACGTATCTACTCATACTACATCCATGTATGGCTATATTCTTCAACGAAAACAAAGAATACAAAAATAGCTCTCTGGAAGATATTATAGTTTTTTCATTTTTTGTGATTTTCCATTTTTTCCCACTAGAAACATGAATTTTCTTACTCATGAGAAATTACTTAAAATTTTGATAATTCACAAAGTTTTTAAAGAACTGACTCTCCCTCAATCAAACTCAAACCTTAAAATCTGAAATGTTGAATTGCCTAACAGGCCGTGGCTGGTGTGGCTCAGGGGACTGAGTGCCATCCTGTGAACCAAAGGGTCACTGATTCGATCCCAAGCAGGGCACATGCCTGGGTTGCAGGCTGGGTACCTGGCTGTGCATGTACAAGAGGCAACCAATTGTTGTTTCTCTCACACATCAATGTTTCTCTCCCTCTTTCTCCCTCCCTTCTCTCTCTAAAAAAATGTAATCTCCAAAAAAAAAATTTGTAATTATAAAAAGTTATTGCCTTACTGGCATTATCATTTGTTTCTACAAAGTCGTCCCTCCCCAAACCCCCGAACAAGTGCCATATTGTACTTCATGCATCCCACATTCTCCTTGGTCACTGGCAACTGCAGCCGCTGTATACCTCTCGTCAACCCAGGCATAATCCTCAAGACCAGTTGATGACAATAAAATTCTACTCTGCCAACTTCTCTCAAGTTCCTTATAAACTTATTAGATTCTGAAGCAATGCCTCATAAAATACTCCCATACAATTCAATAGACTGAGGAATTAATACTTTAAGTCATAACAATAAAATATACTCCGAATATTACTGGATCCATACAATGGAGTATTATTTGGCAATAAAAAGGAATGGAATACTGATACATGCTACATGGATAAATCTTGAAAACATGCTAAGTCAAAGGCGGCAATCACAAAAGACCACAGACCATATGAGTCCATTTATATGAAATGTCCAGAATAGGCAAATTTAGAGAGACAGAAAAGTAGATCAGGGATTGCTTAGGGCTGGGCAAGTAAAGGGAAGATAAAGGGGGCTGTCAATGGGTACAGGGTTTCTTTCAGGAGGCACAGACACATTCTAAAATTAGATTGTGGTAACTACACAGCCCTGTAAATACAAAAAATTGAACTGTATACTCTAAATTGGCTAATTGTATGCTATATGAGTTATATATCAATAAAGCTGCTTAAACTGTTCTAAATTTACTATTGTAACTATTTATTACAGCCAGCACTGAATAGCTACTATGTGCAAGAAACCTTGAGAGACCTTAATGTCATCTGATTCTTACCAACTCTGCAAGGTCAATTTTTAATCTTAGAGATGAAAAAACAAAGTTTGGTGAACTTAAAATATTTACACAAAGTTACAGAGTTATTCAGGAATGGTGCCTAGATACATCACTCTAAAGAAATAATGTCTCTAAAGCCCATGTTTTCTAAACTATGCCTACCATGCTTCCCATTAAATAATATCTTGGAAACAGCATTGAAAGAGCAGGCATTTTTGTTTCTATCAGTGGTAGGAATTAATTTTTAGAGGCATCATTGATACTGTTACTGGGGAGAGACCCACGTTACGGCCAGCCCCACCCCCCAGCTTGTTCCTCGGTTCTTGCCTGACTCACAAGAGATGAATTCAATCAAGAGATAACTCATATAGTGGAAATGAGATAGCAAGTTTATTTATGAAACACACACAAGCACAAAACTACAGGCAAGCACCCAGCTAGTCTGAATGCCCCACACATAGAAGAAATAAAGTTGTAAGTTTATTCTATACATTTGAGCTGCTACAGGTGGGCACCTGGCTAACCCCAGTGCACTTACTATTGGGATTCAGGGTTTATATACTTTAGTCAGTTTATAGGTTTCCCCTCTTTCTTCCCCTTCCACACCTTGGGAATAATGTACAGCTACAAAGGCTTTCTTTCTTAGCTAGTAAAGGTTCTTTGTCTTAGTGAAATTGTTACAGAGGATCCCTTTCCCAGCACAGAGACTCCCGTCCTCCTGCACTATCCCTGCCTGTGATGTTCAGAATGGACATCTTATCGAACCAGGCTCAGGACTGCTGAGTCAATGGGTGAGACATGTCTCCTTCCTTCTCCCTGCCTTAGTTTACTACCTATCCCACCAAACAATAGGCAACAAGGCTTAAAAGGTTGAACACCATTATTTAATTCAAAATCCACATCTAGAAAATAAATGTCTCTGGAAAACAAAAGTAATTAAGGTTATGAAATTTGTCCCATCCCTCTCATTTTACATCAAAGCTAGCTTGTCAATGTCTTCAAGATACAAACACCATCTATTTGGTGTTCTTTTTTTTATACTAGATAAAATGCCAACAAAATCTAAATATACAGAAATTATCACCATTTCTTTAAACTACATTCACTAGGCAAAAATATTCCTTAATTTAGATTGTATTACTCACACCTAGTTTTTAGTATACATTTAGAGGATTTTACAAAACTCATTAGCCATTCCAGAAAGGTAGTTGAATAAAAATGGTAATTATATGAAGAATAAATACAGATACGATACTAAAAGGACCACATTTTGTGACTTGACCTATATTGTAACTAATCATTTTTAGTCGCTGCCTTATTCTATTTCCTGCTGTAACAAATTATCACAAACTCAGAGGCTTAAAACAACACAAATTTATTATCTTATAGTCCTATAGGTCATAAGTTTGACATAGGTCTCACTAGGCTTAATGTAAGGTCCTGGCAGGCCTGTATTTCCTTCTGGAGGCACTAGGAGTGCTTCCTTGCCTTTTACATTTTATAGAGGTTACCTGTATTCCTTGGCTCATAGGCCCTTCCTCCTTCAAAGCATTACTGATCAAGTCCTTCTAACATCGTATCACTCTTAACTCCTTTACCTCCCTCTTCCACTTTTTAAGTGTTCTTATGATTATACTGGGCCCATCTGAACAATGCAGGTAATCATCCCATTTCAAGGTCCTTAATTTAATCCCATCTGCAAAGTCCTTTTACAATTTAACTAATAGTGTCTTAGATTCTGGGAATTATGACTTTGATATCTTTGGGTGGCAACTCTTCTGCCTACCACAGTTGCCCTTGTCTTCAAAGAAATCAAGATGATACCGGTAGTAAATTGAGCCTAAAAGACTGAGGGGAGGGGCAGGGGAGCATAATAGTGGTTTAAATAAAGAATGTAGAACTTGGAACAAAAAATCCCTCCTTATTGTTCTGTCAGATTTTTACTGGCATTTTATTTTGAAGGTGAACCTTAATTAGATACATGGGAATAACAGGAAAAATAGGTTGCCATTCAAACCCATTAAAGAAAATGGAACTATCTAAATGAATCTGTCAATTTTTTAATTTGAACAAAAAAAAAAATCCCAAAAAGCTTATTTTGTATTTCCTATCTTTCTATACCTTGTTTTGCTTTGGCACGCAGGAAGTGCCATTTTATACAGCCTATATCATATAATAGGACACTGTATTAATTCCAACTAGAGAAAAGGTAGCTTGGAAGACTATACTTGAGCACACTGACCATGAGTTTTTATGAAACTTTAAAACAATATATCCAAAGGAGCATTAAATGTGTGTATGTGATTAAGAAACCAAACCTCTCCTTTTTGAAAAACCCATATTCAAAATGAAATGATATCACATTAGGACTTTTTTATAATTCCCCAGAACAGTGTTCTATCCATTGTTTAACTTTTTCAATTTAGCTTTATATCTTTTCTCACTCCAAGACAGAAGAGTGATGTTTGATGTACTCAAGTTATAGCCAGCATTTACCAATTCTTTGATTCGACTTTTTAAAGTACTTATGCTTGAATCCAAAATCCGAGGATTTTCAATTATTTCTGAAATGTGAATTTTTTCTTCTATGAGGCAGTCTATTTTATCATTAAACTTCTTTTCTCCCAAGAAGATCACATCTGGATAGCTCAAGACAAATTTCTGTACCGCTTCTTCAGTGCACCCAAGAGAAAACAACTTTTCTTTAATATTTGTGTAGTTTCTTTTGGCACAGTCATTGGAAAGATCTAGGATTTCAGCTGCTGGACCACATATCAGAGCAAGCAGCTCCTCATTGTTCAGGTTGAATGTTGACTGTAAAAACTTAATGTTAGCTTTTACCCGTTTGGTGCTCTGAATTAAGATGAAAGGGTTCTTAAAAATTATTTTCCTCACAAAATCTATGGGATCACTGTGACCTAAAGACAAACAGATCTCTTGCAAAAATTCAACCATCTGTTTATTCAAATCAAGACTATTGGAGAAGGTACGTGGGGCATTGGTCAACAATCGAGAAAGGCATTTACGGGTCAATCCAACTGAGTAGAGAAACTTTATATTATTCTCCAGGTTCAGGTTATTATTTGACCGAAAAAATGATTCAGGAGAACGTTTCAAAATATTTACAATTTCAAGGTCCGATGTCATAATTGTTTTCCACAGATCCCACCGTCTGGAAAGATTTTCAGTTGTGCGTGTTATGGCTCGTGGATATCTTGATATTATGCTAGCAATCACTTCTTCGCTAGCTCCTTTGGAGAGAAGGAACATCTTCAGGTCCTGCTCATTAATACCTATCCTATTAAAAACTCCTGGCTGTCGTTTCTTCGCCATGTCAACATCTACTCCCATACTCACTAACTTAGTCAGTAGTTCATTCTCAAAAGGCTCACTGTCTTCATTATCATGTTTCACACCAAAAAGCCTAAATGAAACTGATTTGAAGAGGATTTCTGATGAAAATCGGATCATCCAACATCTTGAACCAAAGAGAACATTACTTCTTATATACGAAAGGTTTCGTGGTGCCAGAATGGTCAAGTAGCTCCAACCTTTTGGAATGCTGTGTAAAACAACATATACAATATTATATAAGTGCATATATTAAATAGCTGAAAGACCACATTATAATCCTATAAGCATCACGGTCATTTCTATAAGATACCTGTAGCTCCAGCCCTCCTGCTGCTGTGGTAACTATTCAGGCGTCATATTCCCACTCTCTAGCTCATTACTTCTAATTATCTGTGGACCTGGGTTCCCTACATTGTTTTGTGCATACATGTGTGAGTTATATTTTCCTTTTTATTTAAAAAATTATTATAAAAGTTATACAACATTAAAATATTGAAACAGTAGCCCTGGTTGGTGTGGCTCAGTGGATTCAGCGGCAGCCTGCAAATCAAAGGGTCGCTGGTTCAATTCCCAGGCAGGGCGCATGCCGGGGTTGCAGGCCAAGTCCCCATTAGGGGATGCCTGAGAGGCAACCACACACTTAGGTTTCTGTCCCTCTCTCCCTCTCTTCCCATCTCTAAAAATAAATAAATAAAATCTTTTTTAAAAAATTCAAACAGTAGAAGAAGGTATACATAGAAAATTCATTTTCTCTAAGCCAGTCACTGAAAGATAAACACTATATGATCTCACTTGAACAAGCAAAATAGAAATCAGGGGCAAAGAAACACAAAACAGACTGGCAGCTGTGAGGGGTGGAGGAGGGCTGGATGACAGAAAGTGAAGTGATTATCCAAAGAACATACATGCATGACGCATGGACACAGACAACAGTGTGGAGATTGCCTGAGGGAGTGAGGGAGGGGTTGGGTGTGGGGGGCACAGGGGGAAAAATTGGAACTGTAATAGCATAAACAATAAAATAATGAAATGGGGAGCGGGGCGGGGGGAGAAGGGAGGAGAGCTCCTCCATCTCTGCTTTATTCTACGGGTTGCCAAACCTTTGGTTTATTCCTACTAATTGATGTTTTCAATTCTGCCTTGTCTTCCAACTCCCCCGATCTTTGGCTTTGCCCCTGTCCACAGATACTGGACTTCATTGCCTCTGTTCTCACATCCTGGTTATCAAACTCTAAATCTAGCCCTGAAAATCAACCCTTCAGAATACCTAATTTCCACCATAAACACATTTTTCTAGATTCATGGCACTCTTTAAATCCAGGCTATTATTAGAGACCAATTCTAAGTTTATCTAGACCTCTGGTCAACAGCTCCTAATCCCAATCTCCTCACTCAACTTACTTTACTGTCCCCTTGATTTTAACTCAACAACTCCAAACCAGTTTTCATCTTCAAAATGATCTAGTTTTGGGATATTTAATCCAAATAGTCCACCACATGAGGAACTGTGCTGCGAGATGACACGTTTAAAAAGTTACTTTTACCACTCTCCCCAAACCACATTATAATAGACTAACCTAGGACTCTCTGCATCTGTTTCACAACACATATACCTTTGTACAAGCAGCTAAAACCTCAATAACTCATCTTCCTGATCATTTAGAAATAAATCATGAAATGTTATGAACCGCTATTTGATAATAATCATAGGTCCCTACTAGAATGAGCATCTCTATTTATGGGAAATATAGGAACAAAGAAGTATTCTTCTTATCGGATTACTTATTTTCCTAAGCTACTTGTGGTCTGAATCATACAACACAATACATTTTTTTTAAACTATACTTTCACCTTTTCAGACTATACAGCTGTGGTGGACTTAGTTCTTGATTTCCAACTACTTACAATGGGGTCTTATCACTAAAAGGAGGTACTTCCCTTTTTCTCTCTCCAAACTAAGCATAAAATATAAAATAGAGCTAGGTGGTTTCAACTCACCTCTAATATCTTTGGGCTGGAGATACTTCTTTTAAGATCAATACCAAAAAAGCCCCTCTGTGTCTATCCTTTTAATTATTCCAATTTAACAGGAACTTGGATTATGCCTACAGGCTGGAAACATTCCGGTAGCTCAGATAATCTACTGATCCTTGAAGAACTGGAAAAATATTCCCAAACTGTAAAATCAAATAATATTCAAACAAAAATGAAGGCTGCTCACAAGGTAAACCTCAAACAACGAAAGCACATTTTAGACTGCCCTGTACTCTTGAGTTCACCATTCTTCACTTCTCTGTAATACCACATACTGTCCTGTAACTATATACTCTGCCAAAAATGCATGAATTTAGAAACTTAAAAACAAGATCCTCCTTTCAACTAAAGGAAGGCTTCACTTTGCACAGCTCAACAATCTGTTCCCCACCAGACACTCAACGGTGACCTCTACTGGATAACTGGACAGAACACCAACAGCTGTGGACAAGACCAGAGTCTTCCAAAGAGAGGTAGGCAAGATGACCCAATGGAAAGTAGGAAGAAACAGTAAAACTCCAATTTATATTTGTCTCAGCCTTTTAAATTTCCACTTTCTATACATATTTTTAAATGTATACAACAGTACTGTAAAACATGTACGTAAGTCATTAGTAAATATAAATATATTGAAGGTACATGTATAAAACTTTTTTACAGAATGTACATAGTCAAAAAGAAGTTTGAAGCCTACTACTCTGAACAATACACCCTCAAACAGGGCTAAACAAGCCACAGAAAGTTCAAAAGAAATTGTATTAATGACGGACTAAAAGCAAGTAAAAATATATGCCAAATTTCTTAACAAAACAGCATTAAGGCTTCTCCTGAATCTGTCATAGGTGGATTTTATGCGTTTGTATATAATTCATTCTCTATGGAAACGGCTTTCACACAAATTAACATATCCAAAACCAAAGTGAACATCCTCCCCAGCCCCCAAAGTAGACCTCCTCTGATCAATGAAATCACTGCCACTGTCCTGACAGCCACTCATGATAAAAACATAAAAGTAAGCTTTGCTTCCTTTCTCTTCCTCAACCCCAGTCATCAAATCATGTAAATTCAGTTCGTTCAGTATCTCTGAATTCCAACTTCTCAACTCTTTACTGTTCCCTCACCCAGAATCTAATAACCGCATCCGACTTTCTTCTCTAACATCAGTCATTCAAAACTGCCATCAGAGTATACCTGTAAAACAAATATATAATTATGCCCTTCATTCCCTGTTTAAAGACCTCTGTAGCTCTCCCCTACAAAGTAAAATCTTTAGACTGACCTTCAAAGCCCTCACAACAGTTCTACCTACCTTTCTAGCTAACTTCTGTTCTACAACCTCACAACTAGGCACCATTGTCTCTCAAACCTCATCCTAAACATCCTTGTCCATTCTTGTTTCCCTGCCTGTGTTTAAGACGTCTTTCAGAAAGGCTCATCCTCCTGATATCTATCTATAGTACAAAGTCCCATTCAAATACTATCTTCCTCCAAATCTTTAACAGAAATATACTGAGTTATTTGTTTTATGAACACTTCTTGCTACGGAAGCTAAAACTAAATACTGTATTTCTATAGGGGGAAAAAGAGCACAATTGGACATAGAACTGGCAACTAAAACTTGGGCTTGATTACAATACTATTTGTGGAAAAAACTGACCCAAAACACAGTATAAGCAGCCTCAGCTAAGCATAAATACAATGTTAACTCAATTTTCAAATAGGACTGATGAAAGAGAATTTGGTATCCTCCATCACATCCTTCGACCCAGCATTTCTACTTCTGGGAGATTATCCAAAGGACAAGAATACAAATTTGCTGTGAAAAGGATGACCATCATACTATTTGCTTTAGCAAAAAAGAAGGAACCCAAATGGACACCAATAGAATGATTAACAAATTGTGGTATTATATATAATACTATACAGCCTTATTTTAAAAATGAGGCAGACCTCCTGGCTGGTGAGGCTCAGTGGACTGAGTGCTGACCTGCAAACCAAAGTGTCGCCGGTTTGATTCCCAGTCAGGGCACATGCCTGGGTTGTAGGCCAGATCCCCAGTGGGGGGCACTCAAGAGGCAACCACACATTGATGTTTCTCTCCCTCTCTTTCTCCCTCCCTTCTTCTTTCTCTAAAAAATAAATAAATAAAATCTAAAAAAAAATGAGGCAGATCTAACACAATAAAAAGATGTCCAAGATATTGTTAAGTGGTAATCCACCTAATGGTATGGTTAGGGAAATACTGCTTACATAAAAGGGGAGGGGCATTAATATATACAGAGAGAAAAAAATGAAACAAAAGAGTAATTTCTGACAGATTAATAGCAGCTATGTATTTGTTCTGAAATATTAAGGTATTTTATTTATATGTGTGTTTTGCAATCAGACAAGAAATTTTTTTAAAAATCAAAGTGATCTTGGAGTGAAAAAATGTAATGGAATATATATATATACATATATATATATATAACTTTATCTATTTTTCAGCTTTCAACACAAAAATGTTAAACCTGATAAATATCAGTGTTGCTTTACTCTTTTGGCACCCAATCTCCAACCAAAAAACTTCCATCACATCTAGCACGGTGAATAAATATTTAAACAGCTCAATGCAAGAAGCATCAACTGCCTCAATCTACAAATTTCAAAACTAATACTCCATAATGTATTTCAATCTCATATTAATGTTTTTAATTAACCAGAACCATCAGTGTAGGGGCTGAAATCTAACATTAACAAATACACTGACAATCTGTGTACCTGTCACTTGTCAGACATAAGGAATAAAAGAGGATTTACATTACCCTCTGCTCCACAATATCCTAATGAAGGGGCTTTTGGTGGAAATTACTCATCACTGGTCCTACATGCCAGCTGGCCTTCTTTTGACAAAACAAGCTGTTTAGAGATCTTTACAACGAAGCACTTCTCACCTCATTTGTCTTAAGGAAAGAGAACTTTTGCATTCCTCCAGAAGAAAAGCTGGAAAATAGTTATCCCTAGAAAAGGCAAAGGGGCAGGCGGGGTCAGGGTGCATAAAATATTGTCAGGCCTTCGTAATACAGAATAAGGAGCAATCCCAGCTAACATTGCAAAACGTTCTCGTTAAATGCATAACCTCTTGTATACTAAATATCTCTTAGAGATATTGAGAAGAAAATGGCAAGTACGCGTCTGAGTATGATTAAGAATAGGTAACAGAATCAATTTTTTTTAAGGCTAAGTGCTTCACATACGTTGTCTTAATTAAACTCCACAAATTCAAAGTAGATATTATCCCTAAAACTACAAAAACGAAAAAAAAGCGCCGAGTTCCCTTACTAGCTTTTCTTAGGTGAAGAGTTAAGGTTCGAACCCAGGTGACTGGTAACTCAAAACCAAAGTTAATTCCATAGGTTCCATTCCATAAATTCTTCCCATCCCTGTTCTTCCCACAAGGACAATTGTGCAAGGAGCTGCGCGAGAATGGGACTCAGTTATACGTCAAAGTCACCCAAACCCGCCTCTAAAAATAAAAAGCACAGCAGCAAGCCAGCTATAGCAACCTTTACTGTACCTACGTGTTGGAAAGAGCTTTACTTCCGCCTCTGGAGTGGAGCGGGACCGGCGTGGAGGGGCGGAAATGGACGGCTAACTTCCGGCATTTGTGACGCGCGCCGATATGACGTATATGCCTTGCGCGCTCCTTGCGGCCTCGCGGCTGCCCTCCATAAACCAACGTGGAGCGCCCAGCAGGGGGCGATAGGAGACCGCGGTAAACGCGAGGAACCTACTGCTGTAGCCAAGTTTTGGAGGGCTGGGCGGGGTGGGGCGGGAGCAGGGCCAGGGGCTTTCCCAACTCCCTGGCCGGCAGCCCAGAGTTGCAGTCGGGATTTATTGCTTACCGGCAACACGTGGGAAAGTCTCTATTAAATACACTAATTTTGCAGCCCGTTAGGGTAGTCACGTGTGCTCATGTGACTAACACGACGATGCACTAAGGCGTTTAGTGTAAGAAAATGTGTGTGATAACGAGGCTCTTAAACAGTCCCGGATTCTTTCCTAAACTACTTCCTGGAGTATAACAGCGAATCCGAATTCAGTGTCAGCCTTCAGGCTGGGAAAGTAATTCTAGAATACTTTTATTTAATTTCAAATAACTGCTTACAGCACCATTGCCTCTGGTTCTTTTGAAACCTTGATGGGTCTAGACTATGGTTTTCAACAGAAACAGATTTAATCTCTACAGCAGATGCGTTTTGGGCACGCTTGGGGGCGTCACTTGAACCTTTCCTGGTAGGTCAGCCTCACCTTCTGGGAGATGGTGGCAACGGAGATGAAACTTCAAATCAGGGCAATTCTACTGGTGTTCACCAGTATTTGAACAAAAACATTATGACCCCATTGCCCCACTCTCCTTATTCATCCCATCTTGCCCGAAGCAACTTCTTTTGTTTGTATCCCTTTGATCCTTAAGTATTCTGTAATTGATACCACATGCTTTGTTGCACTGATATAGATTATCAGTTTATTTCAGATCTATTCAGGCAACATGACTTGAATTTGTTTGGAGTAGTCCTTCTAGGTAAAGGAGATTGGTTCTTTTGAAAATAAATTCCATATTTCCTAACCAAAATTCTTGGATTACAAATATATTTTAAACGCATATTACAAAACACCAAAAAGACTAACAACAAAAATAGAATACTGGTTGGGTTAGGATGGTGTATTATGAATTTTTTTTTTTCCTTCTTATATTTTTGCCAAGAGGTTTAATCTTTAATGATTTGTGAAATGTTATCATTACCTCCAATAAGAGCAGTGACTACTGCCTCATCATTGGTGATGTGTTACAGTAGAACCTGTTTATACCTTGCCTGTATTTTATTCATTGATTTAATGAACATTTATTGAGCACCTATTGTTGCAGGGAGCACGGGGCTCCTGGATCTGAGGGTCATTGTCCAGGGCCAGCTGAGGTGGGAGCATGGGTTCTGATCGTGCAGAGCCTGTCTCGGGGTTGTCACAAATGGGGGCAAACAAAATGAGTTGTTCCAGTCACTTTCTCTCAGTCTGATAGGAGTGGGGGCGGCACTTCCCTGTAGTGGAGAAGGCCCCAAGCCCCCATGTCCAAAGGCTTTTATTCAGAACCATATGCGCAGAGGTATATAACAAAGCTCATCAATCAATGTCAAAAGGCTATGTTTACAGAAAACAGATAGAGATCATAGATAACAATTGAAGGAACACAAGAGATCTGCCTCAGGTCAAGGTCTATGAATAATGTAAATCTTCTTCCCAGTATGAGCCTGTTATAGCTTTTGAGGGAAGAACAAAGTGTGCTTCAAGGAAGTTACTTCTAGGCCTGATTTTTCCCCAGCAACCACCTGATCCAGTTTAGGGCTGTACCTGCCTTTAGTGTTGTTTCAAGCCTGAGCCAGTGGGTGGGGCAGAGCCACCAAGAGATGAGGAGACTACTTTCAGATAGAATGAGGACTCAGGCCATATCAAAGCCGAGGGGTGAGTGTCTTTTGCCCTTTTTCCATGTCCCCCAAGTTTTTCCCTGATGCCCATTAGTGGCTGTGCCTGGCTTAGACTGTCCCTTCCATCGAGGGGTCTTACCCATCATTGACTACTAGCCATCTCCCAGGGCCAAGCAGTGTGATGTGAGAGAGGCAAGGGGACAGGTTTTGTCACCTCAGTGGCCTATTTTCCCAAGGCCTCCTTGATTATTTCCAGCCTTGGGGCCCTCTCGCCTGTTGGCAGGGCTACATTTCCTGAAACCAGATGAGGTGTTTCCCAACATCTCCCCCTTTTTTGTTTGTTAGCGTGCACATTGAGGTGAGTCTAACAAAACCAGCTACTTGTTTTTCCCACACTTTATCTCTATGGAATAGCTTGGAAATCATCACAAAGCACAGAAGACAACAATAATCAATAAACATCCTGCAGCGCCCATGACCCATACATGAAGGTTTAGATTCTCAAACCAAGTCTTAGGATTGAGCCATTGCAAATTATCATGAAGGGTTTGGAAAACTTCCTGCTTAGTCAGTCTCTTAATGTCCTAAAGTTGTTGACGCAGCTCAAGCTGGAGTTGATCGATCTGGCCTTTCATATTGGATGAGAAGGCCTCTCTATGGCAGTGTTGCAACCTATACCTATCAGACCGTTTTCAGGATGAGGGGATATAGTGGAAAACAAAATAAAGTCCCTCCCCTCCTGGACCTTATTTCCAATGGTAGGTCTGACTCAGCCTGTGTATCTGCACCTCTACACATTTACCCCATTTTCCTTCCCCAAGATCATAGGTGGTCCATGCCCTACTCGATTGATATAATTAAGAAAAATAAAGTGTGGTTGGAAACACTGATGGAGAGGTGGGTACTCTGTGTGGAAGAAGACCTGAGTCAGGGAATAAGTGATGATGAAGCAACAAAGAGGGAAACAGATGAGATGAAGCAATTGCAATAGGGTGGAGAGGAGTTTTTCCTAGAAGCAATTCTAAATTTTTCATCTTTCTGGGGGTTTTTATAAAAGCAAAAGTAATTCAAATTTTAAGTCAAATTTGTATTGTCTCTATCCTTTTTACAATTCTCTTGTAATAAAACCGTGGTGCCATTGATGGTATATTTGTCTTTAATAACCATGCTTGAGAAGGGAAAAGTTTGCCAAGTCTGAATTGGAGGATGTCCTCCACCCTCTTTAATACAGAAGTCTTTTGCAGGGGAAAGCATGCTCTGAGGCCGTCCCTTTACGAACTGGTCATTCAAGGGATGGACTGAAAGTCAAATTTGAATACAGAATCTTTGTTTTGCTCATAAGCACTGCTGACCTAAGATTTTTCTAGCTGTGCCTCAGTGCCAGCCTGACCCCTTCTGCTCAGGAAGTGTCCTTTGTTTTTGTTTTTGTTGGGTTTTTTTTTTTTAAATGTAAATAGACTTCTGGCAAACCACAGCCCCTCTGTTGACCACTCGAGTTTGAGTCTCAGCAAACCCAGTTAAGGTCAAAAAGGAAGTGGCTCTCCAGTGCCCCCTCCCCTTTCCACCAGTATAACACCCACAGACACCTGACTCAATAAACAAATCCCCCGCCCCACATCAGCTTCCTAGACAGACCTGCCTGCCAGCGACCTACCAGTCTCATTAGAGGGCCCACAGAAGAACATCAAGTCTCTTCTCCCACTCTCTCCAAGCTGCAGCTGATTTGTTTGCATGTGAAAACAAATGAAAAGACTATAAATTGCTTAGGGTACAGAATAGCAGGAGATAAAGTTATTCCACTACTCACAGTTAGCACACTGACTTTGCAAACAAACCAACCAGAAAAGCTGGCTTAACTTCCCCCCTTTTTGAAACAATTGCTTTTTTAACAACCTTAGATTTCTAAAGATTTTACTGCTCCTAACTTTCTTTCTCTGAAATATGCCTGACCAGGGTCTAGACTCTAGACAGACTTCAAGAGTCAGCTTTTCTACTCCCACACTCGTTACCACAAGGGTCTGCGGCAAGGAAATGGATACTTAGCCTGGCAAATTTGCTGATTCCAGACCTGATGTGATCCTGGGTTCTCATGGTAGTTAGATTGCCGCCATCAGCAGGACAGAGCTGGCCAAGGGAAACTCAGTAATCATTTGAGATCCCATTCAGCCTAGTGAGTTGAAGTATCTTTTGGGTTGTTTCACTCTATAATACCATGCCTTTAATGAAGCAGTTCTTAATCACTGGTTGAAAATGTTATCTTATTATAGTAGGAAAGCAAATAATCCCCAAAACAGAGAAAAAAATCTTCCTTATGCAAAATTACCTCCCTTCCTATTTGCAGTATTTCTTGAAATTTCACCTGTATAGATTATTCCTTTTTTTTTTTTCTTTAATAGTGTGGTTATTTTAAATCAGAAACATATTTAAAAGGGGAAATAAATTAAGCCAATAGTCAGCAAACTTTTTCTATAAAGGTCCAGACAGTAAATATTTCAGGCTTTTGGCCCACATGCTGCCTCTGTTGCTGATTCTTCTTTATTTTTCTTTCTTTTTTTACAACACTTTAAAAATGAAAAAACCGTTCTCAGCTCAAGGACTGCCTGGCCGCAGACCATAGTCTGCTGACACCTACATTAAACTCTCATGAGCTACTCACATATACCTGTAACTTAGTTTGTTAACTTAAAGTCAACCAAAGAATAGGAATTCTGAGAGAAAGGACATAGAAGAAGAAAATATTAATAATGTTTGAAAATACTTATATAATATTGTACTATCTGCCATGTACTATTCTAATCAGTTCACCTATATTAATTCATTTAAATCTATGATGGAAGTAACATTAGCTCCATCTTTTCAGTTGAGAAAACTGAGATAGATGCTAGGTAACTTGCCTAATTTCACACAGCCAGTCGTTGAAACCTAAGAAGTCCAGCTCCAGACTCTATAATCATAATTATAATGCTTTGCTGACACTCAGAGAGAAACAATATTTGAATTCACTATAGAAACTACAAAAATAGATATGTTTTTCTATAGAAAATTTAAAAAGAGGGCCGGAAAATATCACCAAAAATTCAATCACTTAGAAATAACCACTATTTATATTTTATTTTTTTTAAAGATTTAT